TCTAGGATAATACATCCTAGTTGGGGCTACATGCCTAGGTTTTCTTCCATAACATATTCGATTAATATCTAAGCTTTCGGGTCTAAAAGCCTTCTCTAACTCAAATATTTTTTGGTTTGAAAAACTATCATCTTTTTGAAGAACTTGTACCTTATCAATTGTTTTCCCCTTACCATCTATGTTTAGTTTTTCAAGTCGTTTGACCAACTCATTCACCAATTCTTTTTTGTCCTCTTTTTTCTTCTAAGTTAAATTTTTCTGCTGCTATATTTGGTGGTGGTTTAAATAAGACTGTTCATTTTTCCCTCTCCTCCTTTTTCTCTTGAGGTCTTATTTTATTTAGTACATTTTCTATTCTGCTAGTTTGCTTTCCTATAGTTTGTAGAAAGAGATTTGTATAGTTATTTTGCTCTATTATATGAGGTATTCTTTCGAGTTTGGCCATATGATTGTTAGATTCTTTGGGCCCTATCTTAAAAGGTGAAACTTTTATTTCATGTTTTTCTCTTCTTAATTGTAAACTTGATTCAGGGGGGTGGATAGATTCTATCTTTTCACCTTTAATTGTATTAAAAGTTTGAAAGGTATTTTGAACTGTATTTATTTTAAATTCTGGATACCTAATCCCTTTTTTTTTTAGAATATATCTGAGCCATTTAAAGAATTTGACATTTGTTTTGTGCTGTAACATAAATTTATTAAATTTTATATGAAAAGCATTTTTCAATTTTTCATTAAATTCTTACAAAAACCATTCTCTTATTTGTTTGTTTTCTTCTGAGAAAATATTTTCGGATCCACTCTTTATTAATAATAAATTCATCAGACTTTTGGATGGTGAGAATTTCGAAATCGAATTCAGAAAGAGTTGGTTCTTCATGTTCAATTTGAGAAGAACTGGGGGTATCAACCTTATAAATAGGGTGTTGGACTTGGTTTGAAGCTTTTCTTAGTCTTTCAATAACTATCCTCTCATTATGAGCTTTTTCATAATCAGTTTGAGGAATAGAGGAGATTGAAGTTCTAGGTGGAACTCTGAGATGTGTATTAGAAATATTCAGCTTAGTGCTCTTAGAGGATGAGAACTGTATTTCTATATCTCCATCAGGATATTCCACTATTTGTTTAGGTTCTTTATTTTTCGGGTTCTTAGTCCGGGTTTCAGACTGGAGTGACCATTTTTCAGATAATTTTACCTGTTTTCAAGATATAGACCTAGGTATTACAGGATTGGATTTATCCATATTAGTCTGGAAGAAAATAGTTTGCCCTTTAGTATTTATTTGCCTAGCATTAAGACAAAGATTGTTCATAACCTTATAACAGATCCTATAAGCAAAGGCTAGGTTTTGTGTTCCTGGATCCATATTAAAACCTTGAGTCTTAAGGGTAAGAGTTAAAACTTTTAACAGATTAGGATTCGTAAAGCTATTGAGAAATTTGGAAAGCAGTTGAAGCATATAGGTCCATTATATAAAGTAGATTCTACGATTCCTAACAAAGAAGCGGTAAATCGTATGTCTATTATCTCTTAAACAAAGTAGTATATAATTGTTTAATCCTATTCTTGTTAAGGGTTTCACAGCTATTTGGACAAGACCTATGTGAAGATAGTTGTAATCCTTCTTTTTATACTCTTCAATCATTCTAGTTAATAAAAGTTGAAAACTATCTTGAGTTTTCATGACAGAAATAGTTTTTTCAATAGTTTTAATTGAAAAACTTATTCTGAATCAAAAGTCTATTTCTTATAAACATCAACTGTGGGAACTTTTGGGATATTCCAATTTTGGATTTGTTTGTCAATATTATCGGTAATCACTTCTTCCTTATTATTAACTCGAAGAGTATTACTACTGGAACTAGAAACGGTTCTATTCGATAATGTTCTGAATAAATTTGTCATTTTAATCTTGGTATTTCCCGAAGTTAACTGGAAACAGTCCCTACACCTTACTACCCTTCTTGCTAATGGTGGTTTTTGAGTCACAATGACTTTAGGGATTTTGACAAGATTTAAATGAGCAAGAATGTTACGTTCACCTCTGAATACAACTTGGCTCTAATACCATAAATAGCGGAAGAAACAAACGGAAAAGTCAATTATCGATAAAACAAAAGGAAGAGTCAATAGTCGATAATTTGTAAGTGGAAATAAAGATCATGAGATTGCCAAAGCCATTATTTGTAGTTTTACAGGATGGCTTAGAGGTTGGTGGGATTTTCATATGGATGAAGAAGCCTAAGATCAAATTTTAAACGCCACTAAGCAATGGGTGGTTAAAACTGAAATTGGATCAGGATAGGTGCAAGATAACTGTCCTCTCATTATGAGCTTTTTCACATTCAGTTTGACGAATAGAGGAGGTCAAAGTTCTAGGTGGAACTCTGGGGTATGTATTAGAAATACTCATCCTAGTTCTCCTAAAGGGTGGGAACTGTATTTCTATTTCTCCATCAGGATATTAAACTATTTGTTCAGGTTCTCTATTTTCAGGGATCGTAGTCTGGGTTTCAGACTGGAGTGACCATTTTTCAGGTAATTTTACCGATTTCCAAAATACAGACCTAGGTATTACAATATTAGATTTGTCCATATTAGTTTGGAAGAAAATAGTTTGCCCTTTAATATCCATTTGCTTAGCATTAGGGCAAAGAGTATCCATAACCTTATAATAGATCCTATAAACAAAGGCTAGGCTTTGTGATCTAGGATCCAACGACTTTAGGGATTTGAGAAGATTTAAATGAGCAAGAATGTTCAGTTCACCACTAAATACAACTTGGCTCTGATACCATAAATAATGGAAGAAACAAAAGGAAGAGTCAATAGTCAATAAAACAAAAGGAAGAGTCAATAGTCGATAATCACTAACAATTTAATAATAACATAAGAAATAAAACAAAATGAGTAACTAAATAGAAGAAATAATTAAGACATATATATTAACATTTATAGAACAAAGTTGTAACACTTACATGATAGTCTTGAAAAAAAAAATGATATACCAACAGAGTGGTTCCTCTTCTTCAGAAGACTCAAACAACTTAAACAAAGCTTACACTCAGACAATAAGCAAACACTCAGACAAACAAACACTCAGCCACTCCCAATATAAGGTACTCTCTCCTTTGGTCTGGCCGCCTTATATAGAGAAGGAGGGGTCGGACTTCAAATGGTTTCAAATCTGCACCGACACACAAAAAGTAAGATTCTTTGGAAAAGTATAATGCTTTTAGGAAAATAGAAAGTAAAAGTAATATTCTTCTACATTGACCAATTTGTCGGTGGCAATAATGCTCTTTTTTTCATTAGAAACAGTGACCAACTTGTCGGTGCTCTTTAATATATATATATATATATATACTGAGACT